TGCCTGTCGGTCCCTGGTGCCGTCTGAGCCAGGCCAGTCCTGGCGCCGTCTGCCGTCCCCCGACCCCGCCATGGGGGTTGCAGTGAGCTGGGTTCAGCTGTCACCACTGCTTTGTGGAGCAGGCCTCTACAGCCTGAGCTCTGGGGACAACTGCAGAGGGGGGTTTGTGAAAGTCACCTGAGGAAAGCAAACCTTGTTGTTAGGCTTTAATTCCCCCTACCATCTGCAACTCCCGTGTAAAAGCTCACGCAGGCTGCCAGATGAAAATGGTGGAAACCCTGCACTGCCTCAGGCCGGCAGATGGTCGCAGGCAGAGAAGCCCAGTCCTGCAGAAGTGATCCCGCACCAGCCTTCGCCCAGCGCTGCCACACTCCTCACGCCTCGTCTGAACCGTCTCGCAGCAAAATCTCACTGTGGGGAGAGTTGGGCCAGCTCTTGGCCAGCCAGAGAGGCTTTGCAGCCAAGTCAAGCTTCTAGGATGTGGTCAGGTGTATGATTTCTTAGAGAAATGGGTTTACAGCTGTTCCATCTCAAACACTGATTATTTTGGGTGTAATTACCGGTTACCTCACTGTGTGCTTATAAAAAAAAAAAAAAGAAAAAGATCTATTCTGGGGAAGAATTTCTAGGGTCATAGAGGGAATTTAAAGCTCAAAGGTTTACAATCCCAGCAAGATAAGGCAGTATAACAGCCTCCACACTTTATGGTGCCAGCTTATGAAGAGGTCAAAATGGCTTAGCATGAGGGTCAATTTTACACGAAGTTCCTGTTTGAGGAAGGGAAAAAACAGCCAAAATCTTCATAGCTGGCTTTGACACAACTATTAGATTATAGGGGTTTGGGCTGTTTTGGGTTTTTTCCCCCGCTAGCCCCAGTGGGTTTACTGTATCCAGTGTGACAGTGAAATGACTCCCAAAACGAGACGGTGTCTCTTCCACAGGCCGTCAGCCAGGTGGTCCCACTGCATGTCCCATGCCTTCGTAGGGGTGAGCAAGGCACCTTCACATTCATCCTCTCTGCAACTCATCAGGTATCACTCTGTTCTTAAATTGCTGGGAAATCTATGAACATCCACCAACCTCTATGGATCTGGACTGGTTCTGCCATCCCCTTTGTCTTCCCTTTGTCTTCTCTTTGTCCTGCCTTTCTGCAGCATAGCAGTGGCTTGTCCCTGCTCCAGTAGCACTGGCCTCAGTTACAGACTGGAGAGCAAGGCTATAACCACCTCCTAGGGAGGCTCACAGGCTTTGACTTTGATGTCTACACTAACCTGCCACAGAGAGCTGGGAAACCTGAAACGTATGGAAAAATTTGGAAAACAAACTGTTAACAGGACATAAATGCAAGCCAGGAATTGTTCAGAGAGGCAATTAATAGATATTTCATAGAGTGAATCACAAGTGCCTAGGTGATCTTACTGGGTGGAGAAATCAGGCCCAGAACCATGTTTTCACTGTGAAAGTATTTCAGGCCCTGGTGCTCGCACACTAAATGCAGCCTCATCAAAGATCTCAGGTGCGAAGTCTTCCTGCTAGGCCAGGAGTTTATTTAGTGTGCCCACTATGTTTGTTCCTGTGACTGTCCCATTCTGCAGACCACTTCATGCCACTGCAATTCCAACTGTCATGCAGACCAGGATTGGTGTTTCCATTTTTTTTAGCCTTGCCAGCAGAAAGAATAGAGTCTGATGGATGTAAAGTCTGCAATGCCAAGGCTTAGAGGCTGTCCAGAAGCTTTTCTAGGGATTGCACAGCATTTGTGACAGACATTTAGTGTCTTCATATACAACCTTCAGAGATATTCTTTGAGCCACTGGAAACTCAGAGCAGGCATGAGTCCCAGCTAGCCAGCCCCTGGGGGCAGCAGGAGTCATCAGCCACAGGGCAAGGAGCTGAACTGTTATCTTTCTCATTATTCACGTAATTGCCATGACTTCCATTGTCCTTGAAAATTAGGAGAAAATTATGTTTACAGTGTCTTGTTTGGCTCCTGTGGTGCCTCTTGCTGGGTATTGTGAGGTTTCAATAAAATATGGTTTAGGAGCTTGCTCTTGAACAAAAACAGGGCTGTGAATCTTCCCACAGCTGCCGTGACTCTTCATAGCTGTGTCCTTGGGCACCCAGCTACAGCAGAGAGATGGGAGTGAGCTGGGCCGCTGTGCATGGACCAGCACAAAAGCCAAGGCAGGTGAAAGCACTGCTGCTCCTTCAGTGCCACCAGGTGTGCTTGTTTCAAGCAAGCTCCAAGGGACATCTTGCAAGGGGCCATGCTCAGTCGCACAGAGCATCCAATGGCACTGGTGTGGAAGAGTCTGCAGAGCACACGAAAATGTCAGGTATTCCCCCATCTCCCTGGCCAGAGAATGAAGCTGAGCAGGGATAAGACAGGGACAGGGACAGTCCTTGCTCCTTTTGAAGCGTGTGACAAAGGTCCTCCATCGCTGGAGGTGTTAGAGTTCCTCCACGCAGCAAGCCCCAAGTCCCACATACCACACCCACACATCTGGCTGCACTTGGGTATCTAGGAGACAGAAATGGAAATCTGGATGTGTGCCAAACGCACACAGCTGCATATGTTTGGCTGCCAGATGGTTGGCATGTAACCTGCAATCTGATGCAAAGCATGGGTGCCAAACCTGTGCAATAAGCGTCCACAGAAGAGACACACTTAAACACATATGAAAATGAATGCAGATCTTTTCCCTAGAGAAGTTCCATTGGGGATGGACCATTTCCAGCCATCTTAGATCTTTTCCCAAGTCAGCACTTTCCAGGGTTGTTCTTCGAGGGAGAGTGGATAGGACCACTAGCTACCTACTTGATTTTGGAGGTTATGAAAGTGGTCTTTGAGCAATGTAGAGCATTTGTGTGGTCACAGCCAGCATAGCGTTGCTCAATGGTTAAAATAGCAGATGTCAGCCTCCAAAACTGCCAGATTGGCAACTGTCAAGAATACTAACAGATATCATAAAACGTAAAATCCACTCACAGATGGCCTTTTTGTGGAGGATCTAAACATTAATTTTGTGTTCATCTGAGACACTGGGAGCTGAATTTTCTTGCTCCCTGCTCTCCTCAGCAGCTTCCAGGCAGCTAGTGCTGCCAACCAAAATGAGGGTGAGGTCCTGGGAGCCCCAGTGGTTTGCAGGCAGATGTGTGAGAGGAACCAGCTTTAGCAATTACTTCCCCTTCTGGTTTTCCAACAGTTGGGGAGCTTGTTCAGGACCCCATGAGGAGATGGGGGCTAGTCAGGTTCCCACACTAAACCCTTTCCTGATTTTTAGCCTGGTAAGTTATTGGTTTTAAGGACAAGTTCAGACTTGGCCAGGCTAGGGCATTACTTTACAAGAGGCATTAGTTTCAAGCAGGCCTCATAAGGACACCAGCCTTTTGCCAGGTGTGAGCCCCTGCTCTCATTCCATGCCTGAAACCTTTCCTGGTAGTCTTTCCCCAAACTGGAGCTGTGTAGCATTGAGGTTTGTAAGACTGCAGAACTTCAAGAGTGAATTGATTTGGTTTTCAGCTCATACAGAACTCCTCACCATCAGTTCTGCCCTAGACAAAGTCTAGGCCTTGTGCAAACACATTTTTCTCTGTTTTTGTGACTGTAAGGCACTTCAGGCTCTTTAATACTGATGTGGTTGCATGATAACAGCAATGAAGATAAATTACCTCAAAAATAGGCAATAAGCCTTTTAGCTCTTAGAGCAAATTCAGAGCTATTCTGAAAGAGCCCACAGACAAAAGAAATGGCTGTTTATCTTCATTTACAGCTACTGTGGAGAGCCATGAGCATGCAAATTCACTGGCCCAGGGGCAACAGCTAAGGTAGTGCTGGAGTCATAGGGTTTGCTGCTGGGAGAGGAGACAGGAGGAGAAACTCCCACCTCTCCTCCACCACACCATCTCATTACATGCCAGCCTTGCCTAACACCTTGGTATTTTTCATTTGGAAGAGCTGGTCGCTATAGGTGACTGCAGCCCCTGCCGCTGTGACTGCTAGCTCTGCCACTGGGCTGATAGAACAAGAAGATAGAAGAAACAACTACTTCAAATGCTCACCAAACTGTCAATCAAATATTTAGATGCCTAGCATGCTAACAAGTCCCTCCTAAAGTAGGGCATATGAGGGACTCATCTGCCAGCATATGATGTGTCTTTAAGGAGCTTTTTAAATAGTTTCCTTTTTTCTCTTCCCAATAAGAAATAAGACTTGTTGTTTTCTTCCAATGGGAAGAGCATGGGAAGTATCCTCATTCAGGGCTTACCCAAGTGTTAAGGGGCATTCGAGATTTTCCCAGCATTAATTCACATCTTGCCCTGCAAGTGAGGCACTCCTTAATTATCAACAGGGAACACCACAAATGTGAGCAAAAAGCAGATATTGCACACACCTGTTCAGGGGTCACCCGAACCTGCCACCAGATTCTCTGAGGGAAAAGCATGTCTTGAGTAATGGACTCAAAACTCTTTATTACTCTTACATTGTGTTATATACCTCCATGAGGGCCAAGGGAAATATGACACAGTTCCCAGAGGTGATAAAAAATTACGCTTATAAATACATTTTTAGCATTTGTTTGGCCTGAGATTTTTCCCTTGCTCACAGATGCAGATGGAGAAATCCCCACTAATACGGGGAGACATGTATGCATAAGCAGTGGATATGAAAGCCTGACCAATTCAGGCCCTGTGACTCTCTCTTCTTTCTGTTTCTGGGCAGCAGCAGGGGAGCAGTTAATGGTGCTATGCTTGGTTGTAATGTTTCTGTCATTACTAACAAACCCCGCAATTCCTTATTGTTGTTTTCTGGTGAATTTGCCTCTCAGCAATACTTGCTTGGTGGAACCCCTTCAGTTGTTTTATTTTCAGGTTTGATTTTGCTCACTCCCATTAACACAATAGCACATCCTCTTGCGGGTCAAAAGCACCTTCTCTGCCATTTCATAAATACTCTCATCCAAAGTGAAATAGTCAGGAGGGGGAGGCAAATATATTGGTAAGATAAAAGTAAACATTTAATGCCACTATAGTTTGATTTTTTTTTCCAGACATCATATTTTTGACAATGTTTCACACCTCAGATACCACAAAAGGGATATTTTTTAGCCAGCAAACAATAAACTGTACAATTTTAATGGCAAAAGGCTCAATGCGGTTTTTGACCAACTTGGTAATGGCTGTGACTTTCCACATTTGGAACTAGTCCTCATGTTGTTCTTTCTTTTGCTTTTTTTTCCCCATAAAATTTAGTTGATAAAATATATATATCCACTACTGATACATCCTCTTCTGGAATTACTCACTGGTGGGACCAGCATAAGTTGTGTATCCATCAGTTTGTCCCCTCCTTAGCCCTATTTTATACCACTGTTATAATGAGAAAGAACATAGCCACGGACAGAGTGAAATGGATTTAGCAAACATACACTTCAATGCATAGCACTTAGATAAGCATTTCCAACCATGATGTGTAAATAAATTATAAAATACAAGCAACTCTATAAAACAAGAACATCCTGAGTTTACAAATAAATTATATCCTTCATACATAGAATATGACGTGGATGTTAGTAACCAGCAGTTTCAGCTATGTGAGGGGAAGAAGTAAAACTTAGAAAAGTTAGTATCTATGCATACATAAAACATATATGTATGTGTGCTACATGTAAATACTCACACACATACATATACAATATAGAGGGTGAATACATCCATATCTATAGTATACAGAGAATATGTAATATAGCTGAAACTGCCTCAAGCACCATTTTATTACCATTATTATAAAGTTTGCTCAATACTTAGGTAGGACCACTCAAAGTAAGATAGTTTGGGTTGTGTTTTATTTTCTGTCCAGAAGGGGTTTGAAGGTGGTTTGAAATATTGCAGATGAATGTCACTATTTCATTTTCAGCCCATTCAATCTTTGCAGAATCATCATGCCCTTTGTGAGCTTCAAAATGTTGCACAAGTGAGCACAAGTCTGCTGTCAGTGAGGCTGGTGGCAAAATCCATATTGACTTCAATGAGATTAGGAAAAGGGTGCTACGTTTTCAAGGGAACATGATTTTTCTTTTTCTTTTTTTTTTTTCTTTTTCTTTTTTTTTTTTCTTTTGAAAGCTTGCTTGAGAAGGAGAAGAAGAAAAGATAAAGACAATAATAAAATGGTTTATTATTTCCAAGAGCAGGCATGGAAGCTCAGATAACCCTGGGATGAGCACACAATAAATGCAAGAGATAAAGATTATTAACTTTGCATTGACAAATCATTCACAGTTTTGTTTGCCATAGTTATTTGGAAACCTGTTTCAGATCATGTAATAGCTAGCAACAGCCAGTCTTGTTCTCCAAAAACTGCTGGGTGTCACCAATGCAAAAGCCTGTGGAGTAACAAAACAAAGACACTGAGGACATCAGAATTAAGCAAGGTATGTCACTCATCAGTGGATTTGAGAAATAGCACCTGTCTGTATGATCATCATCTCCTTCTATCAGTATTTAGTGATACAAATGCTTTGATCTCTGCAGTGAGCTGGTGCATCCCTGATGCTGTGCAACCATCCTTTCCATATGAGCTGGCATCAGAGGGCCACCCAACCTCTGGTTTATGAGAATCGTATTTACTTTAGGCAGTACTTTGCAATGCAGAAGCTTAAAGTTACACTTCTGAAACTATTAGGAGTAGACAGCTTTACCTCATGGGGAGCTAAGAGTCTAGGCTTTCAATTGATGTAAGTTTGCTGTATGTCTCATGCTTATGCAGAAATTGTTGCATTTAACAGCTATGATTGTAAGATATGTTGCCTTAAATTCATGACACCCTCATTAAAGTGTAGTTCATTTGGCTTAGTTTTACAGGCTGTAAAGTTTCAATGGCAGCCTCTACATGGGAACTGCGGCAACTTGGCTTTGTAAGCTGAAGAATACGGGGAAGAAAAGACCTTTAGAAGAAGCATTCAAAAGTGTTTAAAGCATAAGTTTTCCCTATAATGTGGCATAAGTCAGCTTCACCTTGAGAGAAAGATTTTACTGATACTACTTGGACGAGGAAGGGGAGTGACGCCCCCTGCAACATCCTTCTCTCTAAATTGTAGAGATAAGGATTTGATGGGTGGACTGTTTGGTGGACGAGGAATTGGTTGGATGGTCACATCCAGAGGGTAGTGGTCAATAGCTCAATGTCCAGATGGAGATAATTGACAAGTGGTAAGTGGTGTCCCTCAGGTGTCCATATTGGGACCAGTACTGTTCAATAACTTCATCAGTGACACAGACAGAAGGATTGAGTGCACCCTCAGCAAGTTAGCAGATGACACCAAGCTGAGTGGTGTGGCTGACATGCTTGAGGGAAAAGTTGCCGTGTAGAGGGACATGGGTCAGGGTCACCCCCAGTATCAATATCAGCTGGGGGACGAAGGGATTGAGAGCAGACGTCCCAAGGACTTTGGGGTATCGGTGCATGAAAAGCCAGATGCAAGTCAGCAATGTGCACTCGCAGCCCAGATGGCCAACTTTATCCTAGGCTGCATCAAAAGAAGTGTGGCCAGCAGGTCAAGGGAAGTGATTTTGCCTCTCTACTCTGCTCTGGTGAGACCTCACCTGGAGTACTGTATCCAGCTCTGGAGCCCTCAGCACAGGAAAGATATGGACCTGTTGGAGTGGGTCCAGAAGAGTGCCACAAAAATGATCAGAGAGATGGAACATCTCTCCTATGAGGACAGGCTGAGAGCTGGGATTATTCAGACTGGAGCCTTCTCTAAGGCTTTGAGTAGAGTTTACTGCAGCCTTTCAGTAGTTAAGACAGGCTTATTAGAAAGACGGGAACAAACCTTTTAGCAGGACCTGTTGCAACAGGAAAAGGGGTAAGGGTTTTAAATTGAAAGAAGGAAGATTCAGATGAGATAGAAGGAAGAAATTTTTTACAGTGAGGGTGGTGAAAGACTGGAACATGTTGACCAGAGAGGTGGTAGATGTCCCATCCCTGGAGAAATTAATGATCAGGTTGGATGGGGCTCTGAGAAACCTGATCTAGCTGAAGGTGTCCCCGATCATTGCAAGGAGTTGGACTAGATGACCTTTAAAGATCCCTTCCAAACCAAACTATTCCATGACTCTGTGTTGTTTCCATTTGTGACTGCCACCTCCCGAATATTGGGGGCGGGGTGGTGGTGTGTGTCTCAGGCTGTGTACATCTACATTGGTCTGTATCTATATACAGTTGTAAAAGGCAATGTTTGTAAAAAAGTCCAGATACTGCAGCTGGCACAAAATTTGAATTCCATTGCATAGGTAATAGTTGCTATTTTAAGACAAACCATATTATTGAGAGAAATGAAAAAACCACAACACTTTAAGAGATACTAAGTCCATCCTGTGAGTAAGTTTGGGCCTTGATGTGCATTACTCTCAGCATCAACCCCAGCTTTCTGCCTCCATAATTGCCATGTTCAGAGATGAAAGAAAACATTACCAGTGTGTACCTTTCATCCTCTTTTGTACATCATCTGCAGCTTTCACTTAGCTTGCTTTGTGTCCGAGGATCATGCGATTGCTCTTTACTGGTTACCATTCTATGTAGCTGCAAGTTTCAGAAGTTACGTTGTATGGCAGTTGGGAGTCTTCCAAGACTGGATGGCAGCCAGCAGATGTTCAGTGACAGGCCTGTGCTTGGCCCTTAGGCAAAATAAGGGGGTATCAAATAGGTAAGAGGAACATACTCTTTGACTACATATCTAGCAGCACACTAAATACCCAGAAATGGCAGGTGGATGAAATTTCCTTTTCCATGCAACTGGATTTACTCTGCTATAACTCTCCAGACTTTATAATACAATTGTGGCTCCTTTATGCCTGCACAGGCAAGATGAGAATATGCCCACTGAAGAGCTAAGAAAGGAGAGCCTGGAAATCAGTTTGCTTCCTTGCCTTTCTGTGAAATACTTCTGATTGCTTAGATCTAAGTGAATTGACAACTGACAACTTGAGGGAGATACAAGACATGCACGGCAGGAGAAAAGACATGTGTCGTTATGACAAATGGACTGGGAATCAGGGCTCTTCCACACCCTCTAGGATACAAAGTGACCCAGTATCTGGAGTCAGTGGGTGTGTGACCCATGGCTTTCTGCCCGCTGCAAGAGCTCACACTGATCAGTGGGATGTCTGAATCCAGATCGCAGCCAAACTCTCCCGTTTAAGGTTTCACTTAAATTTGTGGCTATAAAGCAAGTTCTGTCCCTTGTATAAATAAGGTTTATGTGTGCCAAGCTGAGCAGTTCTCAGGATGAGGCCCAAACTGCCCCAGCTGCCCGTGCCTGAGGGCAGAGGTGGGGATGAGCAGCAGTGGTGCTATTCTGCAGCCGTCACACAACCTGACAATGGAGAACTGGGATCTCCTGTCACACATGTGAACAAAGAATTAACCTTCAAACCTAATTACCTTTAAATTGCTGTTTCCTGCCAAAGCTGTCCCAGGGAAATAAGACTGATTTCTGAATGTGCAAATGATTAAGATGTCCATTCACGTTGCTTATGTGTATTTTAGGCAACTTGATGTCTTTCAAAAAATCAGGATAAAAACAGCATTTCACTGGCAATTGATTAAAGAATGAGACCTCCTGGATGACCTGCAGAAGTGCACGGGTCTTCTATAAGGTGCTACCTATCTTAAACGAAGATCAATTTCATAATAAGGCCCTGATGCTTTCAATTACCTGTTTTGCAGATATTTGAAGTATAAAAATATAAATTCTTAAGTAAAAAGCGGTTTTCAATGAGAAAACATTTTGCAGATGTCAAATCTCCACAAATTTTCATTCCCTTTTACGCATTAAGCCACCACAATTCCCCAAAATAGTGGCAAACTCTGAAATGCACTGACAGAAAGTCAAAAAAGAGAAGATGAGTATGGATTTTAGGATATGAATATATGATGGGAGTGTCAATGGCCACTCTAATTAAGACCTCAGAAATAAAATATTTGCAATATTTGACTCTGCTTCGGTTAGTATTTTCAGTATGCCAAATTCATCCTTGGCATAATCCATTTGGCTTCAGGAATCAATTTTGGTCCATTGTGATAAAGAGGGCAAACATACGCTCTCACTTTTTAAAATAATGGCTAGATAGACACACTTTTTGCTATGTTTCCTAATCTACAGAAATACCAAATCTAGAGACAATGACTAATTGAGTTAATGATGCTGAAGAATATTACATGTAATAGATATTATACAGTCGCTCTAAAATGTGTCCACTTGATTTATAGAAACATCACCACTTCTTTGCAAGTCCCAGACTATGTGAGAGGGCATCTCTTGATAATAATGCATTCTGTGCATGCACCATTTGCTAGGATTTTGCTTTCTTTCTATCAAGCGTGTGTTTACTTTTACTGTGCCACTTGCCATTTACCATCTCACCGTAGGCTCCCAGGGAGCCCAACACACTCATTTTGAGTTGCTTGTTTTCAGCAGAGGAGGGACAATGTGTCAGAATTACCCAATGACCACCTTCCAGCAAACATATTTTCAGAAATGCTCAAGCTTAAAGAAGGCAACATTTAATTTCATGTTCACAGCGTGGGTGGGGGGGTGTTTTTTCCTTGAAGGAGGGGGTATGGCCTGGAGACGGGCTCAGCACAGTGTCACAGGTGAGAGCAGTACAGGCCTGGGGAGGCAGGCGAGTGAGAGATGGGAATGGCTGGGAAAGTCTCTCTCCTGTGTGTGTGTGACCTGGCAGTGTGTACCTGGGGCTCGGTGGGACTCAGCCCATAAAGAAAGAGGCACTCCATATCCCAACGGCACTAGGTTTTCATCCAGCACAAAACTGCAGGGGCAATTTCCATGGCTCTGTGGAGTCATACTGAATTCATAGGGCTTTGCAGAGAAGAGATAGCCTCGAAAGAACTGATACGTAACAAGTGCTACTGAAATCATTACAAAGAGAAACAATCGCATTGTCTGGGATTTGAGAGAAAAGGGAAGAGAGATCAGACCTATGTCTTTAATACTTACTTGGAATATGAGTCTCATGATGAGAAAATGCTGTGGAACAGACTAGAAAGAGACTTTCATACAGGACCTTTTTTCCATCCAAATTATCCTACGGGATGTTAAGAAGGATCTTTTACAAAATCCAGTGACAAGGCTAATAAAATGAATAAGATTTGTTATTACAAGTTGCAGAGTATTAAAAGAAAAAAAAACAACATAAATGTTATGGCTTTGTTTAAAAAAAAAACAACCGTTTTTTTAGCTAACCATTAGAAAATCTGTCAGCATTTATGTAGGGTTATTTTTCCATTGGGACTTGCTGCTTGGGCTACTGTAAGATGGAATTAATATGATGGTGCAGGTAAAAGAAGAGTTGCATTTAAGTACAGCAGTAAATTGATGCATATTGAGTATATGTTAAATATTGCTCTTATTTTCTCATAATCAACAGGAGGGTAGCACAACTGTATGTGAGAGGAATTTTTGTGAATGTACTTATTTCAATATAGAAGAAGAAATCTAATTCAACAAAATAATTATTCATGCTCATATGTAATTAAAATACAGATTTTGCACATTTCTTTAACACAAAGGATGTTCCTTCTCACATACTGCTTTGTAGATAAACGCAAGCAAGTAGAACATTTATTTGGTCTGTGCATTGAGGCACAGACCCTTGTCCTTTTGATGTCAATGTGAATTTTGCCATGGCTTCAATACTGGAGGAAAATAAGGAAAATGCCATAATCAACACGCCTGAAGTGCTATATCCACTCACTCACGACTCCCATTTATTTCCAAACATGCTGAGCTGAGCAGAGCCTGCACTTCTCAGGTATGTCTGTGACTACAGACAGACTGGGCCAGGGATCAAAAGCTGCCAAAACATGTTTTGCAGTGGTATATGTCAAAAAGAGGTGAAGCTAAATTTTATCAATCATAGTCTCAAGAAAGAAAGACAGAATAAATCACCCATTTTTGGACTGATAAGCATGGGAGCTCTCAGCCTAAAGAGTAATTTTCTAGAAAGTTATTAGCACCAGAAAAAGGGGTTAGGATAAAAGTGCCTTCTCATCCATAACTCTAGCCAGTATGAAGCTAAAAATACATGAACAAGAAAACAAGTTATGGGGGTTGGATCAAATGGAAAAGATATTTATGTCACTGTAATGTCACCTTTCCTCTCTCATACATTGCAGAACCTATGGGCTGGGAAAGTTACTGTGTCCTCCAGCACGTAAGATAGTAGAGAAGAATATATAAGCAAACCTTACTCACTGCTAGAAATATTTTTTGTGTCATCTGGGAAAGCTGAATTTCTCTTTGAGTGCCCTTACTCTGGTAACAAGAAAAGACAGTTAACATTTATTCATAAGTTGTACTGATTAGGAAATATCTCTACAAACACAAGTTACTTAGAAACAGCAAGTCTGAAATAGGAGAAAACACCAAGAGAAAAACAAGCTGTAAATACATTTCAAAAGTGTGTTTGTTTTTTTCCTTTTTCTTTTCTTGACTAGCACCATCTGTACACAATAAACTATGAACATAAATGTTTGGATAATAAAGATTTGCAAGGCACTTAAACAGTTTTTCTGGAGAGTTTTTTTTTAATGAACCTCTCAATGGAAGTCCTACAGCCACCTTTCCTCCTCCCTCAGCTAATGCAGGGAAAGAAGTGTCTTCTGCCAGCAGTTCTTATTTACAGACATGTCCTTAATGTCCTCAAAGTGCTCTTTTAGGCTAAGAGAATCAACAACCTTATATCTCCATTTTTCACGCTCGTCCTGTGGTGTTTTTTTTTTTAATACTACTCTTCTGTCTAGTATAGCAAATCTCTCATACACACAGTTGAGACTTGACTCCAACCTTCATCCTCATTCTGTTGTCTTTGGGATGCTATTCAGAAGGGAAAAGGAGGATGGCAGAGATGCGCATTGAAATTCTCTTGAGGTTCATACTTTATCGGCGTCTAGAGGTGATATCAAAGCAGGTGATCATCATGAGATGGGCCTTGCAGAAGTTGACACGGTTTTCCAAACGCTCAGTCACACATTCCAGGGCCTCCAGGTATTCCAGAGAATCCAGCTCAAATACCTGCTCCAGATCAACTGTGAGAAAGAAAATACACAGATTGGAAAAGCAGAAAAAACTCAGTGCTGATTGGTGGCAGAGAGAGAGTTGATTCAAGTCTTCAGACCCATCAGTACTGTATACAACACTGTCTCTGGGTTGCCATTGTCCTTAAAAATTGCCTTTTCTGTTAATGCCTATTAAAATGGCCCATCGGCTTTTTGGAAAAGCTGTTAAGATTGCATTAGATGCTTTCTTGAGCAATATGCTCTGCCACCCTCTCCAGAATTGCAGGTACCTTTTGCAGCACTCCAACACCCTTAAGCAAACGTTGAATGCTAAGCATGTAGTGAGTCTCTCACACGTTCTGCTGACCTCTCCTGGGAGGCCAAGTCCTTTGTGGAACTCAGAACTCAGAGTTGGAAACCAACCTCCAACCTCCTTGCTCCTCAAACTTCTATCTATTCTCACTAGACCACTCAAGAGTGGCAAGGGAAGGTGTACACACCAATCACTCCAACATAGGGGCCCGTATTCTGCCAGAGAGCAGCTGGCAGCGGCTCCCCTGGAAGCTGAGTGGGAGATGGGTTGTCTGAGACCAGCATTTCCCATCTTATCTGGTCCCTGAGGTCTGTGCCGTCCTTGAGGCTTTCTGCATTTATCACACTGGAATCAGAAGCAAAGGCATCACACAGGAAGCAGACGGCCACGCATGGCAAATCCTCTGCTCCCTTTACATCTGTTCTTTTTACTGCTCTTCCATAACAGTGTTCCTAAAACATATACCACAGTTGTTTTGTGGGTTGTACCAATCTAGTGGTAACTTATGGCAGCTGCCAAAGGAAGAGTTAGGATGCTTTAAGAGAACACACCAGCCAACCTCCTTTTGCCACTTGAAATTATCCTAAATAAATTGCAAACAGGATTTTTTTCTAGAACTAGCCTGCTTGGTAATACTAAAAATTGTTGTACAATTACTGCAGTATTCTTTATATTTTTTCTTTTGAGGTGTCGAGGTCCTTCTTCATTTAGATATGAATGCCCTTTAAGCTCTCTGAACTTTACACTATAGTTATAAAAAATGGACCAAATTCATTTTTCACATAAGCCCACTGGTGCCAAGGGACAAGTTTGCTCCACAGTGTTATTTTGTAGTAGAAGAGCAGATTTATAATATTGCTCATATGTCTGAGTGATCTGAGGCCAAAAAAAAAAATATCTCATTTTCAGAAGCTGTGGACTGAAACACTTGAACGTTAATCTACCAATGGCAATATTCACCACTACAATGCTGCACCATTTCAACATTCAGCTCTCAGGCAAAAAGGATTGTTCAGTTCTACTATCAACATTTAGTAAGAATTATAGGGACTAGTTCTAGAAATACAGCCAATCTAAAACTTGCCCTTATGTTGGGCAACATAACAATAACAACCCAATGTTGGTTCATTTTAGTTTACAAACACAATAGCTCACATCTCATTTTTAGCAAACATTTCTGCTACCCTCTATCTGCCCTCCATGAAATAAACCAAAGGACACCCATGAGTCCAGGCAATAAAATGACACCCTTACATTCACTGAGCCATTTATTAGGATCCAGCATCAGGTACTGCTTGGTCACCTCCAGTTCTCTCATTAACCATTCGTACTTGGCCTTGACCTCAGCAATTCTCTGCTGGCGATGTTCCAGGATTTTCAGCTTGGCATTGAAACATATCACCTCCTGACAACAAGGAAAAAGAAGCAGGGAAGGAATAGGTGAAGAGGGGAAGAAATATCCAGATCCATTCAGTCAAAAGATCTTTCAACCAGTAATACTGACAATGAGCCATTTATTCTGGAAGCGTATGAATCACTGCATGAAATAATCTATCATCTGTTTTATTTTTATTGCTTTTGTTTGGTTTTGATGTTTTCCATCAGTGAGCTTTGGAGACTTTGCAATGATAGTTAATAATAAACCATAATAATTAATAACAGGCAGCATCTTGAAATCAGATTAACTGTAGCACAACATTTCTGGTTTTTGTCACCAGAAGTTTGGCTAAGAAAATGTAAGCTCTTGGGAGAAGGAAATCCATTGCTTGCTCTATTAAAATCCTCAATTCCTCTCTGTGGTTGGTGCATAAGAAATGCAGTAGTCATATTATAAAATATGAGAACTGGTAGCAATATAAAATTTAAAACATCCTTAAATGAAGGGAATATGATATGAAAAGCTCTAGCAAGTCACAGCCACTAATAATGAAGATACATTTTCTGTAAAGATATGAGGCACAGCAACAGCATAGGGTGCAGTGCTGTCTGGGACACCCAGCCTGGCCTTGCAAGACTTCTGAGGGGTGGCAGCCATCAAGATGTGCAGTGAGTCCATGGTGAGGTCTGTGCTACCCCTGCTAGCATGGGAGCACTCCCAACACACAACTTCCTCCAAGCCCATGTGAAGATCCTGACACTATATATGTTCTGCCTTCTGCTATGTACACAAGCCTGCTGTGCAAGTGAAGTGGAAAGCCCATGCCAGCAAGTGATTCTTTTCCTCCATACAAAATCATATCAGAGAAAAACATCATAAACAGTCTAACCAAGTTACAGGAGCTAGAAATAAAAAGTGCCTCAAAATAATAATAAAACCTATATCCACAGTTACTCTAAAATTGGTGCTATTTCACCAACTTCAGATACTCTTCCCAATCATACCTCTCAAGAGCTGACCTTTACAATTCCCTGATCTTTTTGTACATTTTGAGGTCTGAGGTTTGCAGGAACAACTTTGTCAGAGAGAAGACATTAGCTATCCTGGAAACAATACCCTTAAAGCACTCTCAACTCCTTCATCATCATTGCTGCCTTCAAAGACAGATGTGACAAGATGCTGGAGCACACAAACCACCAAGACTAAGCAAGGGGCAAAAATGCAAGGTACCAATGTCTGTTAGCTGCTATGGAATTAGGCATAACTTGAGTCATAACAGCTCTTAAATAACATAATAGGTTTTGCTGCCTGTTAAATTAATTATATACCATGCTACACATTTCTGATCGCATAATCGGAATTCCCCCTTACACCTTCCAGGAGGAGGGAGACATGGATTACATGGATTGCACTCACCTTGCTGTCCCCACCTCGTCGCCGCTGGAGCCTCTCCACATCATCTATCTCATAGACTTTTATCTCAAAGGGCTCCCCCAGCCCCCTCTGCCCACTTCGTAGGGGCCCATCCACCCAGCGGATGCCAGGGCTGTTGGCAGGCTTCCTTGCTGGAGAAGTGGTATCAAGTGATAGAGCTGGAATAAGCCTCCGTCTCTGTGAACCTGCAAATGCAGAAGTTGCCATTTCTTGTTAGCTCAGTTACTGCCTCTCCTTTCTGCTCTATCTTCAGACGTGTTTACAAACTATACATTTAGCCTTCTTACGCTCAGAAGAAAATGGAGTGGAAACCCAGGGAGGCCATGGAAGTTGGGGTAAGCTGTAGCTGCAATGTACTGTACCCACTCACCCAGAGTCAGATCCTCACATGTTCTTTGGTACCTGACTTCTGGATTTGATCCTCACAGGGCATATGTACCCTAAAGTTTCCAGAGCTCGTGCCCGCTTCCCTTTGCTCAGGTCTCCGTGTGTACAGGTATGTCAATGAATGGTGAGAGCAGGTTGTTTTCCTATCTCTTCACTCATGCTGGCTCTTACAGCCAAATGAAAGCATTACCCAGCCAGTGCATAGGTGATCTCCAGGGGAGGTGTAGCTTTTGGGTTTTTTAATCACAGCACAAAAAGCACTTTGATATCCAAGTTCTTTTACTATGCTGGAGTTGAGGACCAGTATACCACCACCTAGTCCTTTGCATAACACCACTGTATGCTGGCAAGAAGTAAAAACACTAGAGAGGACAAAATGCCTGCAACAACCAAGCTTGCCACCAGAGTTGCATTAGCCTTGTCTCTGTTCAGTAGACCACTCTTCTAAAACATTTCCCGCTTATGCATTTAATGCAGCACTGGGGTGGGCAGGAAAGCAGCAAGAGCAGTGGGCTGGCAGAAGGGCTAGTCACTGTGTCTGCTTCAATACCCGTGTCCATGCACACCCACCCTGCCTTACAATACCAGCACAGCGGATGGGAGCACTGCAGTAGCTGAAAATGTACCATGGTTGATAAAGCCTATGCCATATGGAAAGCATCTGCTGTGCGAGTTGCCAAGTCAGGGCCTAAGGTAAAGCAAGGGAGAAAAAGTACGTCACTGGCCTGATGGCAGCTGTAAGGAAGTTGAGCATATGGTTTGTTGGGAAAAAGAACAGACACACAAAAAAGAAAAAACAACTGGCTACATTTCCTTCCTTGGTTTAGTACAATCAGAGCAATAGCTGGGTTTAAAAAAAATAAAAGGTTTTGTAGCTGACAACTCCAGCAGGGTCCCCCATAGGAGACAGCAGGAATAGAAGGGATGGGGGAAACCCAAAACAAAAGCTGGAGCCAGCAAGTTTGAATGAAACTATTAACTGACTCTCTTGGCTGCAAGAACAAAACTGATGCCAGCAGGGAAAGGATGCAGAATGATCATGCAGATTTTATTTTAAAAACAAGATAAAATCATTTAGAGGAGTCTCCAGCACTACATTTATTGAAACTTGAATGTAAATAGCTTCAACATGTCTGCCAACTTGGTGCTTCAATGAAAGCAAAAAAAAAAAAAATCCCCCAAGAAAAATACCTATTGATTGTCTAGTTTTTGTATTTTCAAGTAACCAAGCATTGTCTAGTCTCATTCATGGGAGTTGGTTTCTCTGCTGACTTCACAAACTATCACACCTTATCCCATTGATTTCTAACTGCCGCAGTCTGTGCTAGAAACCAGCAGTTAGTAACCAGTAATTAACCTACAAAGCTCTAAAATGGATGAAAACAGTCTATTTTGTTGTCTATCTGCAAAGCCTAGACTAGAGAGCTCTTATTTGAACGCAGCTCAGATAACTCTATGCAAGAAAAGGAGAGCACAGCCAAGGCATATAGACAGAGAGCTCTGTAGGGCTACTTTATACCAAACTGCCTGAGACCTGGGCTGCCCATCCTGTGACACATATCGCATAGTTGCATTTACTACTCAAACTGCAGGCCAGAAAAAAAGCCCATGCCAGAAGAAAATGAAGCCTTACAAATACCAACAAGTAGGAGTTATTTTAGACCTGTGGTACCAGTCACTGGGAGTCTATGTCAGCATTCACTTACCCTGAATGAATTTCAGTTAATCTCTAGATTAAACTGCCTGATCAAGAGAAGAATCAAATCTTAATAAAAGGAAAAGCAAGACCTGACCCATTACCATAGCTAAAAAGTGACAACAATGAGAGAGACAGTTTGGGAAGAACCAAACATACTGCAATGCTAAGGATGACTCTTGTCAGTGATGCTAGAGAAAGGCAATCAAATGGTGAAAGCAGCAGCTGATTGATTTTCTTCCCTCTTCCTTTTTTCCCCACTGTGGCTGTTAACACCACCTTCTTGTGTAATGGGGCACTTTTAAAACATCCCCACTGGAAAAACCGTGGTCTCTGACCACAGTCAAAGCCCAGGTCTGAGATGCTCTGAGAATGCAGCTGGGTGGCTGCAATTCACCTTGCCATGGGAACAATGTCAGGCTTTTATTTGGAGCAAAGCAAAGCAGATGCCACCAGCATACGAATTAGAGGAGTGATGGTAAATGTTTTTGCATTTAGTTGCTATTCATATCCATTTAGCTCAATGAGAAACAGAATCCTGTGGTCTAGGAGGGCTCTGACCTGAGGCTCTGGCTAATAGCGCTTACTCCTCAGATAAGAGGCAGCAGAGACTACGGTAGTGGCAGGAGAAATGCTAACATGAGCTCATTATGTTTTTCTAGCCAGAGCTTGTGCCTGGATAGCCCATGGGTTATCCCAACAAAGCCCTCGGCACAGCGGGGCGATGTGGCAGGGCAGAGCTGCCTGAGGTGGGCAGACTCGCCGCCGTCCACCCCGGGGCTCCTGTGGGACGCAGGGGCTGTCCGCACAGGTCTCCCGGCCCCACCGCAGTAGGTATGTCTGCATGTGAGGCAGAGAAGAAAGAGCAAGAGAGACGTCTTTTTATCTTGAATGCTGACTCAGGATGATTTATCTGAGCTTCAGAGCGCTTCGGGAAGAAATGAAATGAAAGATCTCCTGCATCTTTGCAGTCAGGCAAAACTGAATCCAGTTAATTCTAAACATGCACTGATTAATAGGCTGCTTATTATCCCAGGTACAGAAAATAACAATGTCTTTTGACAGGAGACTCCTGCCACTGACCTACCCATTTAGCCTCTATTTTTTCTGATTTCACCTTAATTGGGATCAGTAAGGAGATACAGCCAAAGCAGAGCTTCAGGGTGAGTGTCACAAAGCAGCTGACAGCTTGCTCATCCATATCAACATGCAGACACAACAATTACATTGTTAAAATGAATACAGTTTTCCATTTACATAGAAAATACCCATTTGAAGTCCCAAATTTATTGGGAGCACTTGATGGGGTTAGGATCTCATAAATTTTTACTATATAATAAATAAAATGCTTTGTAGGAATTACAGCACATCAGTCCCCTGCTTCCGTGCACATATATTACGAAGGCTCCTCATGAGCCTGGAAGCTCAGCAGGAGCAGCTCTCAGCAGGTCCCTCCTGTCTCTGCCCCACTGGCTGTACTGGGAGAACGTGCACCCTGCCTGGCAAACTGACTGACCCCCCCACCAAGCAAATGGGATTCACTCCTCAACTGAAAAAAAGAAATTTATACCAAAAATCTAACTGAAAGAAATCCTGTAAGCTGAACCCAGGACAGAATAGTGACACTTTCATTTATGACCATACAGCACGTAAAGCAACACATCACCAATCTTGGAGGATATGTTTTTCACTCAGTTTGACTTTATCCACACTCAGAATAACCCCTCTTGAGCCCAGCTTGGGTATGAATAATTAGAGTATGACATAGCTCTGAAAATGCACAGAATACAAGATTTGCTTTTGCAACATGATTTTTTGCTCTACCTTGAGCTATAGGTTAAGGTTTGGCCAGGTTAATATGAAGATAAAGGGAGTAACACAGCAATGGAGAAGCGCAGCGTGAAAGCTGATCTAACTGAAGAGCGGCACTGAAGCTACAAGATGCTTCAGCAAAGATAAGCCCAGAGAAGCCTTAAGGTATTAGAAACACAGACCAAGCCAGCCAGGTATGTAAGGGTAACTTTAAGGACAAGAAGACTCACTGACCTCAGCAAAATTGCCCAACTGCATAAAGATGCATGCTCATAAAAGTCTGTGTTGACCAGAGCAGAAATTCTAAGAGGTCTGGTTTTGCTTAAGTACTGTATATTTTTGAGTGTTCCCCTTAGATTGCTTTCCAAGCAATCTAACCAATTCCAGCCTGAGCATCTTTTCTATGAAAAAGGCAAAGGCAAAAAGTATAAATGCAAAATCTTCATGAAAAGAAGCCTGATTCATATATCTTCAAAGCAGGATATATCTGAATGGGATGCAAAACAAGTGCTGTCCTAGAAATTTCAAGGTATTCCAAACAGAAAATGAAACTGTAACTTGATATATCATAATTTTGGTAGTTTATAGTGTGTGCTCAAAGGCAGGATGTGGAGCCAAAGTTATTCCCCACTGCACTTAATGTTATGGGAGGTAAAATTGCCTTTCTGTACAGAACCTGTTGTTCAGCATTTCGTTTTTTCTCAATAGACAATCCAACCAAGCTCAAGGCGATTACAAAACCCAACCCTGGTTAAGCACAGCAGTGCCCCTAAGCTCCCACTGTTTCTTCTATGGCTTCATTTCCAGGGAATACTGTGCTTCCAGTTGCAATGGCATCAACCTCAAATGTAGCCTCAAACTGCTTGCTTACTAGCAAAGATTGTATATGCTGCTCCCCCTGCTGCTCCTCACTGTCTGACAATGGGGCTCCTGCTTTGTTTGAGTTGAAAACACAGTGCTGACTTCTTTCATTCCCATTTCCTAATAGGATCTGCTCTCATGGGCAATTGTCCATGACTGAGCCAACTCCTCCCCATTTCTTTGACCTCCTTTCTCCCAGTTTATTTTATAGTGCACTTTCCCCAGCACAGAGCACATAGCCATAGTACTCCAAACACCAAATAATTCAGGCATTTATTGCCAGGAAATCTAAACAATGTTTGCTCATCCTGGCAACTCAGATTACATGGGAAGGAGTATGTTGCACCTGAACACCTGGAATAGGAAACACTGAAAGGATTCATCATTGAGAAAAAAATCTATGTCCACCTTACTGTAAAATAATTCAGG